ATACCACGATCGCACATCTGGAATACACCATCGGCTCGCTTCAACGACACGTAGCGTATACGCCCCTGAATCAGACCGACTCTAACCGCCTTGACCAAGCAAGACTCCATCTGGCCTGATATAAAGCCTCGAAAGCCTCAGAGATTACGCTCAAGGCCAAGCTCAAAGTGGAAGGACACAGAAAAATGGGGGTCTCCTCTCTCCTCTCTGGCCTCAACTCGCGAATCAAGGGCTCAATCATCAGTTCCCTGACCTTGCCAAATGGACAAACGACTTAGGACCTCCCCAGCATGACCAACTTCGCTCTCACGATGGATTTCCGAAAGGCTTACGGGGGGGCTGGTTTCCTCCGGGGATCTCCTTAAACCCCAAAAAAAAAAAAAAAAAATCCAAGCCCTATCGTGCCTCGGCCTGCCCGAGCCTTTCATCCACTGGGTCCGACTCGTGCACTCGGGCACGTCCACACGGATCTCGGTCAACAACATGCTCGGCCCTTCCTTCCCCGTCCGTACGGGCATCTGACAGGGCTGCCCTCTGGCGCCTTTACTGTTCGTCTGTGTCAACGAGATCTGGCCCTCTTTCTCCCTGGCTTCGCCTTGTCCCCTGCTTAGCACCGCCTCATGGCATGCTATGCGGATGATGTCACGCTTTTCCTCACTTCCGATGCAGAGCTCGGCATGGTGGTGATGCTCCTCGGCGTCTTCGGGTCTGTTTTTGGGGAGATTCCCTACTAGAACAAATGCTCCATCAATCCATTCTAACATCCCCCCAACGAACTCGTGCACGCCGGGCCTATACCCGTCAGAGCCCCCAATGAAGCAGAGCATATCCTCGGAATATATGCCGAACGACTACACCCCGGCTCCACTACCTGGAATAAGGCTCTCGCTCGCATACAACGCACTGCCAAATTCCTGGCAGCCCTACATGCCACCGTCACGTGCCGCAAATCCCTGTCCTCGATCTTTCTGAACTCGGTCATCTCTTACCCTGGACGCTTCCAACCAGCACCACCAGACACCATCAAACGCCTGGACGTGTCAGTCGGGAACTTTCTCTCATCCTCAAGACGCAAGCAAGACGGTCTCGCACAACGTTTCATCCCCAAATGACTTTTATTCAACTCCCCACTAGACGGCGGGGTTGGGGCGATCGCCCCGTCCACACAAATCAAAGCTCTCGCCATCCACCATGCCTTGCGCAGATTCGGTCCTACCCCCTCCGAGGAAGTGACACGGACCCTGACCCTGTTCCCCTTCGGGCTCCATGCTTTGCTCGCCCACAAAGCGATCCTCGAACGAGACTACCTCCCCACTTTCATTCCCCCTCGGGCGCTTGACGAACTCAAAGCTCTCCTCTCCCTTCCCCTGGAAATTCATGGCCCTCCCTTACACATGCAATGCATCCTCACTGAACCAATCGCCTTCTATCAGTCGATACTTAAACCAGACAACCGGCCCTTCGGCACCCGCCAACACGAACGGTTCCTCCTTACAAGACAATTCCGCATTGGACATATTGTCCGGGTTACCAACTACGATGTCGGTCCCATCTCTGCGGCTGAGTTCTGCGCCCAACTCTCGGAGGAATTCTACGCAGATGCAACGCGCATCCTTCCAGACCTCATTGCGGCCATCAAACCTCCTTGGTGGGATGCCCTTCAAACCCCGTTCCCCTCCACTGCCTCCCTCAGCGAATGGTTTATGCTGTCTGAAGTCCTCTACCCTGCCGCCCATCTCGCCCTCCAAGTCGTCTCTTTCATTCCCCCCTCCCTCGTCTCGGCCACTGTCCATCATGTCTCGACAAAAAAACGCATCGTCCGCATCCCGGTTTCCACCGGAACGTTCCACCTCAAAGACCTCGTGGAGGTACACGTCTGGGGTTGGTGGCTTGCTGGGCCACTTCACGTCGGGGCCGGGTTAGGGGCTAGGGTTGGTCTTCTGTAGTACGGTTTCCCCAGCATCGCCGACATCCGCCGCCTCCTCCACTCGGCACAACCACATAATCATCACCTTCGCTGGACCCGCGACCTCACCTCCCCTCCTCCTCCTTTTCCTGATCTTAAGAGCCCGTTCCTCAAAGACCATCCGAGTCGACAGCGAGACATCCCGTTCAGGCTCTACACGCTCACCCTTCCCTCTGGGTCTCGCTTCCAGTATTTTGATGACAGGGGGATTTGCCCCAGATGCCCCGCCGCCGTTGTCGAGACGCTGCCGCACATCTTCTTCGAATGTGCCTCTGCTAGCAACCTAATCTCGGCCCTACACTCAGTCGCTGACTGCCACCTCGGACATACCACCACCACTAAGCATATCTTTTCCCATATACAGTTACGAGTGGAACAATCTCCCCCTTGGAGTCTCCTAGTGGGAGCGGCTGTTAAGACGCTGTGGAATGCAAGCTGCGACCACAGATATCACAACTCCTCTTCCTCGAGCTTAGAGATCATGCAACTGATATTAGCCCAATTCCTCATCGCATTCAAGATTTTTATGTGGAGAAGTCGCCGCCAGTCTACCAAGAAACGCCAGCGTACATCCTCCAGTATCAAACGAGCACAAAAGCTTCGGTTCCTCTTATTTGTTAGAAATGGCACACCATCCATCCATCCAGAGCTCAAACTCTTATGGCTCCTAAAGAACCCTTTCCGACCCCCGTAGGCAATTCCTGCATAGAGCGTCTCCCCAGTCTGCTGGCGGTTGTCCAAGACAAGGAAATAACGTGTGTTCCACGTGCTCCCTATAGGATGCTGGCCATCTCGGCCGTGTTTCTAGATAGCTCTATGCTTTGCATTGTGTATATTGATTAAAATCAATATATAGCCTTAACCTTAACCTACGAAAATTGCCAATTGTGCGAACAGGTTGCGAGTATCACAAGTGCGGTCCACGAAAGCTAAAATAATCGCGACCCATGAGAAAATGTAGTCTTTAGGTGCAAATTTCCATGCTAGTTCGTTTTATATGTGGGGCGTGAAGTTGAATACCTCGTGAAACCGTGGGCAGAAGGGGAAGTAGTCTGTATTCCACCGTTGCACGAGTGAGAAGCGACTTGCAAGGGGCAACATGTTCCACAGGTTTTCGCAGGGGCAACATGACGCAAGGTTACGGATTTCGCGAACCTGGAAATTGAACACGAGAAATCGGAAGGCTGTGATGCCAGGGCCCAGTTCGGATGGCATTGTGGCCATTATTAGCATTGTCAGCATTTATAACGGGCCCCCAAAAAATGGCGCTTGGGCATTTCTAGAAACAGCTTCGAAATCGGACTGTAGCTGCAGTGCACCTTCGAAAAAACGGGGCTGAGTGTTCGGTTGGCATTTATTGGGTTTAGATTGATGGCATCAATCGAAAATTATCTTCGCAGAAGCTGGTAGGCAGTTGCCCGGATGGATCGCGTGATCATGTGATTGACTGGCATACTTGACCAGTCACTTTTGATTGCCCCGAATCACTGACCCTCCGCATGGTGCAGGACCTCGATGCCGCATGGTGCGGCGGATCAGAAAATGGGTACTTTGCTAGAGAGAATGGGGTTGTTGAACATTCAATGGGTTGAAAACGCCATCGAAAAAGAGTGGTTCGTCCATTATTGTGAGGCTCGGCGTGGAACCGCCTATCCGAGCCTTGAAAACTTTGCATGCGCTTATCATGGAACTCTCCAGGGTGGTCGTTTCACTGTAGCCCATCCCCCGCCCGTTTTTTTAAAGCTCGCGGCCCAAATTGTTCAACCTTAGTAAGGTTGACCTTTGGGTGGTGGGAGAAGAAGTTGACTTGTTGGGAGTTGGGCTGTTTCCTTTCGCCCAGTTTCGCGCTAGACCCTTGGGGTTTTCGTTGACACGGCAAACCCCTGGGAGCAACCTGGGTTTGCTTCGAGAGTCCCAAATTGCAATCAACATATTGTTGATCCCTGCTCTCCCATTCGACAAAAAAATACTGGCCAATCAGATTGCATCTCACTTCTCGTAACCACCCTTCGCAACCCAAACAGCACTCAAAACATCACCCCCGTCAACCTTAGTAAGCTTGGCCAGCGCGCCCCGCAATTTGGGCCGCGAGCTTTGGCCCAGGTAACCAGTCGGGTCTGTGCTGCGTCAGCCAGGCCCAGTCCTGGTCGTCGCTTGGACCAGGGCTGCGTCAGCTTTCGGCCGAGCCACGTGCGATTGGCTCGGTCCCCAGCCATGCCCAAGGGTGAGCGGCAGGGGTGAGCGGCGAAGTGCCCAGGCGTTGTGTCGTTGTTTTCCTGGCGTGCCCTGCGTGAGGACACTGTTACCCTCGCCCCATTACGGGGCCCGAGTTACGGAGGCCCGTGTGGGATTTTTCTTCGGTTACGTGTTAGAGATGAGACTTCGCTGATGTGGCGTTTCGTGCTGTCCATGCAAGCTGGTCGGCATCCCCAAGAACCCGTCCAATGTTTCAACAGCCTCCCGAGAACCTGGAGCCAGCTCAAGAGGTTGTCAGCAACTCTTTCATGGCAGAATGTCAGGAATTTCTCACACCACCGAAGCTGACCCATTGGACACATGATGCCCAACCACTGCGCGCGAATTTGACTTTCACATTTCAGAAACTCTGCACCCGTGTTTTTGACACCCGGTCAGTTGCATTTGGCCGAGAAAACGCCTAAGTATGAATCACGCCAGATAAAAAGAGTTTTGAAAGCCTTTGCACCGACCCGAACGGATGCCGTTCCCGACATTTGCATTCCAAGAGCAAATTGAGCAAAGCTTTGCATAATCAACTGCATTTCTTGGACTTACGAGCGTTGCATCCTCCGTCCTTCAGCTGCATTCGCTTCATTACAAGCCGGCCTCTTAGCACGTAGATCGTCTCTTATCTCCACTCAACGCGGTCGCGTAAAATGGCCGACAAGTTTGATGTCGGTCCTGGGAAGTGGCTGTACAAGGTTGCGGACGCCGTTCCCGCCACTGATGGAAGCCCTTCCAAAGGCGAGTCGGTTTCGTCCGTCCCGAATTCTTAAGTTTTAAGTTTTCAGATGCCATGAACCTGGTCACGCTTTATCCCGCTAGCGATCGAAGCTTTTCAAAAGGCGAGTGGATATCGTCTGTCGTTTTGTTTTCGAGTCAACCATGGTTTTTTTTTCCTTCTTCTTTTCCCTAATTTTTGTTTCAAATAGGTGCACCGCCTGCTCGCAATTTACGAATGTACAGTCGTACACCCGACGCCACGTGTCAACCCTTTCGGGATTATGCCCGTACTTCTGTTTCCACACCTCTGTTTCCCACGTACCGCGGCATAAAAAAGCGTCTATAACGTCCCACGTGCGCAGGTCCCACGTATCGCAGCATCTACGCCAAGGATGCGTACGCCGACCTGGGGCTCGGGGTCGACACCATTGCGTACCTCGACCTGACCCCAGTCATCGACACCATGTGGAGCCTCTTCACGTGCGTCCTTCTCTTCTCCCTATCACCCGTTTATCCACGCGTTTTTGTATCCCTCGTCGTGCATTTCGACCTTCTTATTGCGTACCTCGACCTGACCCCAGTCATCGACACCATGTGGAGCCTCTTCACGTGCGTCCTTCTCTTCTCCCTATCACCCGTTTATCCACGCGTTTTTATATCCCTCGTCGTGCATTTCGACCTTCTTGTTGCGTACCTCGACCTGACCCCAGTCATCGACACCATGTGGAGCCTCTTCACGTGCGTCCTTCTCTTCTCCCTACCGCATGACTCGCTCGCTCGCTTATCCGCGCTTCCTTTATCCCTCGTCGCGCAATCTCACGTCCCTCTTGTGTCGACACGTGCTGGTTTTATGGTTTTATCATCATAGACGTCTTAAGGTTTAAAATCGCTATCGGTTCATCTATTCTGTGTCACTTTCTGCTTCACTCCTCACCGTGTATAGAAATGTCCAGGCGTGGGATTTTACCGCCTCTTCATGTGGTCTTTGATTGGCTTGAAATTGTGCTTAAACCCGAAACCCTGCACGAGATCGTGACTAATTCGAGGCTGTTCTGTTCTGTACGTGCATCCAATGATCTATCGCCACGTGGCTGCCTTTCAGGGCCTCTGTGTATAGATTCGGCGACAACAAGTTTCTGGGGAAGCGCTCAATCGTAGATGGCAAGGTATTACTCGAAGCTCAGTACCTTGTAACGGATTGCCTTGTAACGAATGGTAATTTTCGGCGACAACCAGTTTCTGGGGAAGCGCTCGATCGTAGATGGCAAGGTAATATTTGAAGCTCAGGACCTTGTAACGGATTGCCTTGTAACGAATGGTAATGTTCGGCGACAACCAGTTTCTGGGGAAGCGCAGCCAAGGTGCTGCAGCTGGGATCAGCGTACCCTGCTTCCCTTCTTTCCCTCCACTCCCCCACGCTTTCCCCCATCTCTCCTCCCCCTTTCCCACTCCCAGGCAGGCCCGTTTGTGTGGGACACCTATTCCCAGGTGCACGACAAGGTGTTGCATCTGGGATCAGCGTACCGTGCTGCTGGGCTGGAAGCGGTGAGTAGGGGGAGGAAAGGAGGGAGCGGAAGGAGGGAAAGTGGGGGGAGAGAAAGGGAGGTGGGGTCGCTTCGTGTGGGACACGTACTCCCAGGTGCACGGCAAGGTGCTGCAGCTGGGATCAGCGTATCGTGCTGCTGGGCTGGAAGCGGTGAGTCTAGGGAGGGAAAGGGAGGGGGGGCAAGAGGGCCGGAGTGAATGGTGGGGGCCAGGAGGGGAAGGAGGAGTGGGATCAGTGTATCGTGCTGCTGGGCTGGAAGCGGTGAGTCCAGGGAGGGAAAAAGGAAAGGGTGGCACTTTAAGGGGAGGGAGGAGCGGGAGGGGAAAGTGGGGAGGGGCGGAGGGAAAGAGGGAGCGTTCAGCGTATTGTGGTGCGGGATTGGATGATGTGAGTTCAGATAGGAAAACAAAAGGGGGGGGAGAGGAAGAGGGAGCGAGATCAGCATATGGTGCTACGGGGCTTGATGCTAAGTCAGGCGGGGACGAGGAAGGAGAGAGAGACGAGTCTGGTGGGGGGATGAGGCGCGGGACGGGTGAGGAGAGGAAGGGGAGAAGGGCGTTCAAGTTGGGAAAGATCGAAAATCTTGCTACATTTGCATCTAATCGATTGCGCACAAAGGTGACGCTCTGCCCAGTTCTCCAGGCTCTCCCAACCACTTCACACCTTTCCCAACACCTCTCCCCCCTCATCAGAACGCCAAGGTGGGCATCTACGGCATCAACTCACCTATTTGGCACCACTTACCCATCTTTAACTCTTCCAACTCCTTCGTACCTGTATCCCACTGCCCTCTCTCTCCCATCAGAACGCCAAGGTGGGCATCTACGGCATCAACTCGCCCGAGTGGTTCATGTCTCCCAACCCCTTCCCACCTCGCCCAAACGATTTGCACCTCTCCCAGCACCTCTCATCACTCCCTGGAATTGTATCCCACCATACTCCTTGCCCCGCATCAGAACGCCAAGGTGGGCATCTACGTCATCAACTCGCCCGAGTGGTTCATTCCTGTTACCCATTGCCTTCCCACCTCTCCCAACTCCTTTCCACCTCTCCCAACCCGTTCTCACCTTTCCCAACACCTCTCACCACCATCTCCCCTTCATCAGAACGCCAAGGTGGGCATCTACGGTATCAACTCGCCCGAGTGGTTCATGGCCATGGAGGTACGCTTTCTCTGATGAGAGGTTGTCATGGTGGGGGGGGTGTATGAGTGCGCATTGGCAGGTGCGCTCTACTCTACGGCATCAACTCGCCCGAGTGGTTCATGGCCATGGTCCATGGAGGTACGTACGCGCTATGGAAGGTGGGCACTGTGAGAGAGGGGGGAGTGAGTGTGCTCTGGGAGGTGTGCTCTACTCGATGTCACACACTGCCCCACTGCTCGCTGTCACTCCGTCCCATCTACAGCATCAACTCGCCCCAGTGGTTCGTGGCCAGGCCATGGATGGAGGTACGTGCTCACTCTGGTGGGAGGGACGCTCTTTCCAATGAGAGGTATGCATGCATAGGAGGCGACTTTTGAGTCGACTCAAAAGTCACCTAGGTATGCACGCACTGCATGCGTAGGAACGCCAAGGAAACAAAACTCACTGCTGCGTGCCTTACCTCTGCTGCACTCTCAAGTGTTGTGACGCGTCTCGGTTATCCTGCGTGCGTTTGCTTTGCTTTGCGTCATTGCGTTTCCTCTGCGCGTCTTTGCAACGCAAGTGTGTTTCCTCTCCATGCTGAACCGACTCAAAGGTCACTTGGTGTGTTTCCTCTCCATGCTGAACCGACTCAAAGATCACTTGGTGTGTTTCCTCTCCTCTGCACGCTGAAACCCCTTTTGGTTCTTCCAGGCGTGCAATTGTCAGTCCATGCAGTGTGTGCCACTGTACGATGCACACAATCAGTGCACTCTCTCAGCATGCTGGCCGATCATGAGTCATCTCACATCAAAGAACGCTTCTTGTGTTTTCAATGCACGCTTAACTCCCATCTGTTCCGCCAGGCGTGCAACTGTCAGCCCATACAGTGTGTGCCACTCTTTGTTTTGAGTTGACTAAAAACACCTTCGTGTGTTTCCTCTGCACGCTGACCCCCTGTTCTGTTCCTCCAGGCATGCAACTGTCAGTCGATGCAGTGTGTGCCACTGTACGATACACTGGGTGAGTCTATAGCGAGTATGGGTGAAGTGAAACGTTGCATACAGTGCACTGGATGAGTGGGGGTCGATAGATAGCATACAAATAGCATGAAAAGTAACGTTTTTACTGAGTGAGTTGCTGTGTAGAGTGAGGTTAGATTTTTTAGATTCTCGATGTAAGTTGCTGCATGGTATTGTTCGTCGATGCATTGTGCCGTGCATGTCTTATAGTTTGCTCTACTTTGTGAAAATCCCAGATAGCTCTTACAAAGTTTGACGATCTCAGCCCCCGTCTCTTTCTAACCTGCGTCCATTGTCCAATAGACCCTCACTCCCCCCCTCCACCCCGCCCCTCCCCTTTGCAGGCGTGGAGGCAGTGTCAGTCATTCATTCTCAACCATGCCGAAGTGGCGCTCGCTTGTGGTCGTGAAAGCAGCCCTCCTCCTCCTTCCTCCCCCCCCTGCTGCGTATCACACAGCTCTCTGTCTCTGCTCTCCCTCTCTCCTCTCCCCTCTCTTCCCTCCATGTAGGTGCGGAGGCAGTGTCATTCATTCTCAACCATGCGGAAGTGGCTCTCGTGGTCGTGCAAGCAGCCAAGATACCTGCTGTGAGTCATAGACTTTCTGGATCTCACAGGCTGGTTCTTGAGAATTCTCAAAAGCCAGGTCGTGCAAGCAGCCAAGATACCTGCTGTGAGTCACAGACTTTCTGGATCTCACAGGCTGGTTCTTGAGAATTCTCAAAAACCAGGTCGTGCAAGCAGCCAGATACCTGCTGTGAGTCATAGAATTTCTGGATCTCACAGGCTGGTTCTTGAGAATTCTAAAAAACCAGGTCGTGCAAGCAGCCAAGATACCTGCTGTGAGTCATTGACTTTCTGGACTGGATCTCACTGGCTGGTTCTTGAGAATTCTCAAAAACCAGGTCGTGCAAGCAACCAAGATACCTGCTGTGAGTCATAGACTTTCTGGATCTCACAGGCTGGTTCTTGAGAATTCTCAAAAGCCAGGTCGTGCAAGCAGCCAAGATACCTGCTGTGAGTCACAGACTTTCTGGATCTCACAGGCTGGTTCTTGAGAATTCTCAAAAACCAGGTCGTGCAAGCAGCCAGCCAAGATACCTGCTGTGAGTCATAGACTTTCTGGATCTCACAGGCTGGTTCTTGAGAATTCTAAAAAACCAGGTCGTGCAAGCAGCCAAGATACCTGCCGTGAGTCATTGACTTTCTGGACTGGATCTCACTGGCTGGTTCTTGAGAATTCTCAAAAACCAGGTCGTGCAAGCAACCAAGATACCTGCTGTGAGTCATAGACTTTCTGGATCTCACAGGCTGGTTCTTGAGAATTCTCAAAAGCCAGGTCGTGCAAGCAGCCAAGATACCTGCTGTGAGTCATTGACTTTCTGGATCCACGAAAGCCTTGACTTTCGGCTTTGAATTTCTGGATCTCACAGCATGCTGCCTGCACATTGACCCTCACAATCTCGTTTTAACATGCCCTTCTGTCCTTAGGGTTTCGGGTTCCTTGCATGCACTCCCTTCGCCCCTCGCCCCTCTCCCATCACCCCTCGCGTCTCACCTCGTTCTCGAATCTCTTCAGCTGCTCAAGAGTCTGCCTAACTGCACACGCCTTGTTCTCATCCTGCGCACCCCTTTCTCTTTCCTCTCCCTCGCATGCACTCCCCTCGCCCCTCATGCATGTGCAGCTGCTCAAGAGCCTGCCCAACTGCACTGAGAATGTCAAGAGTAAGTCGCCTGGGGCGTGGGCTTGGAGGCTTGGGGCAGTCCCTTCCATAGATTTTTTTGTTTGCGAATTTTTCCGGTGTGTGTGTGTGTGTGTGTGTGTGTGTGTGTGTGTGTGTGTGTGTGTGTGTGTGTGTGTGTGTGTGTGTGTGTGTGTGTTTTAGAGAATTGCATCCTTCATAGATGAAGCTCTGATCTACCAGCTTCTCACACACCCGCCTATCGCACACTTGGCACTTTCCTAGCATCTATAATCTCCCTCCGAACCTCTCTCCCATCCCACCTTCCATCCAGGAGAATGTCGCCACGGGAATGTTGCCACATTCGTTTTTGTCAACCCGCCTGCCGAGTTGACTTTTGAGTCGACTCAAATGTTGCCACATTCGTTTTTGTCAACCCGCCTGCCGAGTTTCCTCCTTTCTCCCTCCCCCCTCACCTCCCCTTCTCCCTCCCCTCCGTCTCCCCATTCCCTTCTCTCTCACCCTCCGGTTCTCTCTTCTTCCCCCCCCTCCATTCATATAATCCTCCCCCTCTCCTCCCCAGCGGTGGTGAGCATGGGAGACCTGGATGCGGATTCAGCCAAGGCGCTGACAGACATGGTCATCCGAGGAGTCAGCTGGGTGGTGTCTCAACACGCCAGCTGGGTGGTGTCTCAACACGCCAGCTGGCATGTGTCTCAACACGCCAGCTGGCATGTGTCTCAACACGCCAGCTGGCATGTGGCTCAACACGCCAGCTTCCCCTGGGTTGAATCTAAGGCACCGCACCATCCCCTGTTCCCTCTTTCCCCGTTCCCCCCTCACCAGCGGTGGTGAGCATGGGAGACCTGGATGCGGATTCAGCCAAGGCACTGGCAGACAGACATGGGCATTCGGGGAGTCACCTGGGACTGGGACTCATGACTCCGTCTCCCTTCTTTTCCCCTCCCACTCCTGGTGTTTTCCCGCCTCCCCCCCACCAGCCGTGGTGAGCATGGGCGACCTGGATGCGGAGTCCGCCAAGGCACTGACAGACATGGGCGTGAAGGGAGTCAGCTGGGACGACTTTCTGAAAGAGGTGAGTCAACGCTGGTCAACGCTGGTCAACGCTGGTCAATGGCAGCGAATCAGCTAGGCGCCTGATAAATCAGAAGGGCGGTTGGCAGGCAGGCATGGGCGGGCAGACATGGGATGGGAGTCAGTGTCGATCAATGCTGGGAAAGGTGATTCAATGCTATTGCCAGTTACTGCTGGTCAATGCTGGTCAATTCTGGTCCCACGTGTCCCCACTCACGCATCCCCACTCGTCCCATATCCCACCCTGTCCCCTGCCCATCCCATTTCCTCGACCCATCTCACCAGGTCGAGGCACAGCCAGTGGAGCCACGTTAGGTCCTTCCCTCGTCCCATTCCTCCCTTCCCTCTCCGTCCCCCCTTCTCCTTCTCTCCCACCCCATCCCCACACTTCCCACTCACCAGGGCGAGGCAAAGCCAGTTGAGCCATGTTAGGTCCTTCCCTCATCCCATTCCTCCATTCCCACTCCGTCGTCCCCCCTTCTCCTTCTCTCCCACCCCCCCACTTCCCACTCATCAGGGCGAGGCGAAGCCAGTGGAGCCATGCCCCTCCAAGCCAGAGGACATCTGCACCATCATGTACACCTCAGGTGGGCTCAGGTGTTTCCTCAGGTGGGACAGGTGCTTCCTCAGGTGGGTTCAGGTGCTTCCTCAGGTGGGTTCAGGTGCTTCTTCAGGTACTCCTCAGCAGCTCAGCTGAATCCAGGTGGTTTCACAGGTCTTACTTGAGGAATCTGTGCACCATCAGGTACACACACATCAGGTGCACACAACGATTTAACCGCCCCCCCTGTTTTCCTGTCACCCCTCAACCGACCGACAGGCACCACGGGAGAGCCCAAGGGCGTGATGATAACGAATCATGCCCTCGCCACTGCCGTGGCGGGCACCAAGCGCTTCTGCGAGGTTAACAACTGTGTGGTGAGTGGGAGTAAAGGGGGAAGGCGGGGGTGGTGGGAGAGGAGAAGGGGAGGCAGGGGCTTGGATGCTGTGTTTTGGGTTTCGATTTTAAGGTTTAGGGTAGGGTGCTCTCGCCTCTGCTGTGGCGGACGGGCACCAAGCGCTTCTGCGAGGTCAATAACTGCGTGGTGCGTGGGAGTAAGGGGGGTGGTGGGAGGTTTAGGTTTAAGGTTTAGGGAATAGGGAGTCTCGCCACTGCCGTGGCGGGCACCAAGCGCTTCTGCAAGGTCAACACCGGTGTGGTGAATGGGGATGGGGTTGGGTGGGTGGCAAGCTTTTAAGGCGCCTTAACAGGTGCTTCTGCGAGGTCAACAACTGTGTGGTGAGTGGGAGTAAAGGGGGAAGGCGGGGGTGGTGGAAGAGGAGGAGAAGGGGAGGCAGGGGCTTGGATTGGATGTCCCATCAGTGTAGTGTAGGGTGCTCTCGCCACTGCTGTTGCGGGCACCAAGCGCTTCTGCGAGGTTAACAACTGTGTGGTGAGTGGGAGTAAAGGGGGAAGGCGGGGGTGGTGGGAGAGGAGAAGGGGAGGCAGGGGCTTGGATGCTGTGTTTTGGGTTTCGATTTTAAGGTTTAGGGTAGGGTGCTCTCGCCTCTGCTGTGGCGGACGGGCACCAAGCGCTTCTGCGAGGTCAACAACTGCGTGGTGCGTGGGAGTAAGGGGGGTGGTGGGAGGTTTAGGTTTAAGGTTTAGGGAATAGGGAGTCTCGCCACTGCCGTGGCGGGCACCAAGCGCTTCTGCAAGGTCAACACCTGTGTGGTGAATGGGGATGGGGTTGGGTGGGTGGCAAGCTTTTAAGGCGCCTTAACAGGTGCTTCTGCGAGGTCAACAACTGTGTGGTGAGTGGGAGTAAAGGGGGAAGGCGGGGGTGGTGGAAGAGGAGGAGAAGGGGAGGCAGGGGCTTGGATTGGATGTCCCATCAGTGTAGTGTAGGGTGCTCTCGCCACTGCTGTTGCGGGCACCAAGCGCTTCTGCGAGGTCAACACCTGTGTGGTGAGTGGGAGGGGGGGTGGGGGGAGGGGGATGCATAGGCCTGGATGCTGCGTCAGTGGTGGGACTCTCGCCACTGCTGTTGCGGGCACCAAGCGCTTGTGCGAGGAGAGGGTGGAAGTAAGAGAGAGCCTTGGATGTTCCATCAGTGTAGGTTAGGGTGCTCTCGCCACTGCCGTGGCAAGCAGGCACCAAGCACTTCTGCGAGGTCAACAACTGCGTGGTGCGTGGGAGTGGGCAAGGGGCGAGGAGGGGGTGGTGGGAGAGGAGGAGAAGGGGAGGCAGGGGCTTGGATTGGATGTCCCATCAGTGTAGTGTAGGGTGCTCCCTGCCTCTACAGTTGCGGGCACCAAGCGCTTCTGCGAGGTCAACACCTGTGTGGTGCGTGGAGGGGAAGCAGGGGGGTGGGGGAGAGAAGGGGATGCATAGGCCTGGATGCTGCGTCAGTGGTGGGACTCTCTAGCCACTGCCGTTGCCGGCACCCAAGTGCTTCTGCGAGGTTACCAACTGCGTGGTGAGTGGGCAGTAGGGAGTGGTTATTGAGAATTCTCAAAAACCAGCACTGTTGCTGCTGTGGCCACAACACAACAGCTGCTCGCATCTTCAACCACCAATTCCTGTTGTTGCCCTCCGCTCCGCTCCCCACTCTCTCTCCCTCCCCCTTTCACAGCTCACCCCAGCAGACATCGACATCTGTTGCGCCTCTCTCCCTCTTCCGCACTTATTCGACCGCGGAGGAGACGAGATGAGCTTCTCCCCTTGATATGCGCTGTGTATCCCTCCTTGCCCACCCCCATCACAGCTCACCCCAGCGGACATCTACATATCCTACCTGCCCCTGGCACATATCTTTGCCCGCGTGGCAGAGCAGCTCATGATGCCTCCCTTTGATGTCCTCTGTATCCCCCACACCCCTCCACCCTCACAGCTCACCGAATCGGACATCTACATTTCCTACCTGCCCCTGGCACACATCTTTGACCACGTGGCCGAGGAGCTTATGACCCATGTGGGGGGCTCCATTGGCTTCTGGCAAGGGGTGAGTGAGATGCGGTCGTGATGGATGGGATGCGGTGGTGAGGGATGGAATGCGGAGGTGGGGGGTAGATGTGGTGGTGATGGGTTTGACACCGTGTTGAGAGGTGGGACGCGGATGTGCACAGCACGTCTCCTATCTGCCCCTGGCGCATATCAATTACCGCATCGCGGAGGAGCTTATGACGCACTTGAGCGGCTCCATTGGCTTCTGGCAAGGGGTGCGACGCGGTGGTGAGGGGTGAGATGCGGTGGGATGCGGTGGTGGGGGGTGAGACGCGGTGGTGAGGTTTGGTGAGGGGTGAGATGTGGTAGGGTCTATGGCACACATATTCGTGGCAGAGGAGCTCATGGCGCTCAAGCCAGCCCCGCCGCACACACTCGCCCTCTTCCTTTTCGCTTCCCTTCTCTCCTCCCCTCCACTGCCCTTGTATGCCCGCCAACCCCCTTATCCCACCAGGACGTGAGGCGGCTCAAAGACGACCTGGAGGCCCTCAAGCCCACCTCGCCTCACACACCGTCCCCTTCCCTTCCTTCCCCTACCCCTCCATTGCCCCTTGAACTCCGCCCTTCCCCCCCCTTCTCCCGCACCCCATCAAGGAAGCTGCCCACATCCAACCTCCAGGCCCTTCAGCCCAACTCTCCTCACACACCCTGCGCTCCCTCCCCTGTCCTTTCCCCTTCGCTCCCCTGCACTTCTACACCCTTCTTTCCAACCCCATCAGGACGTGAGGAACCTCACAAATGACTTGGAGGCCCTCAAGCCCACCTTCTTCTGCGGAGTGCCGCGCATCTTTGACCGCATCCACTCGGGTAGGGGCCTGATTGACTCAGTGTGCTGTGCTTATCCGCAAACGCCCCTGCCGTCGCATTTCCCACAAGCAAGCCAGCAAGCCAGGGACTAACCTTCGGTATGACTTCTGAGAATTCTCAAAAGTCATACCAAGCGAGGATCCTGTGCACCTACCTCATTTCCCCATTCCCTGTGCCTCTCTATTCCCTTCCCTTCATCCCAGCCGTCATCTCTAAGATTGAATCAACAGGCGGGCTCACCAAGATGCTGTTCGACTATGCCTACAGCACCAAGCAAGCACGGAAGCAAGGGAGCCTGGCAGGATCCTGTGCACCTACCTCATTTCCCCATTCCCTGTGCCTCTCTATTCCCTTCCCTTCATCTCAGCCGTCATATCTAAGATTGAGTCCACGGGCGGGCTCACCAAGATGCTGTTCGACTATGCCTACAGCACCAAGCAAGCGCGCCTGGCGGCAGGGGTGAAGATTCGAGACGCCACGCCAATCTTTGACTTCCTCGTCTTCAGCAAGGTGAGTGGGTGGCTGTGGGTGGGTGGGTGGGTGGGTGGCAGCAGGAGTGAAGATCCGAGACGCCACTCCCATTTTGACTTCCTCGTCTTCAGCAAGGTGAGTGGGTGGCTGTGGGTGGGTGCGAGAGGAGAGGTCTGCGTGTGCGTTCGGAAGAGGTGCCTTGATCAATGAACACGCACCGGTGGCAGCGGCAGGGGTGAAGATCCGACACGCCAGGCCCATTCTTGACTTGTTTGTATTTAACAGGGTGAGTTTGTGTGGCTGTGGGTGGGTGAGGAGAGGTGAGCGTGTGAGTCTCTAGAGGTGCCTTGAACGCACACAGCTGGCAGCAGAGCAGCAGGGGTGAAGATCCGACACACCATGCCCACATTCAATCCCCCACCCCACGTCTTTCCTCCACCTCACTCCTGCCACAGATCAAGGCACGGCTGGGTGGCAACGTGCGGATTATCTGCTCCGGTGCTGCCCCTCTCGCCCCTCACGTGGAGGAGTTTTTGAAGATTGCCATGTGCTGCCCCGTGGTGCAGGGGTATGGTGAGTTTGAGAGCGGTACAGTGCGATTGAGAGGGGTGCGGTGAGTCTGCCCCGTGGTGCAGGGGTATGGTGAGTGTGATCCTATGCGAAAAAAAGGGGGTTTGGGTTGGATGGAGTGACTAGAGTGGTGGGATGCGGTGCTGCCCGGTTACTGTCTGGTTGGTGTTGCCCTTCTCCTCCTTGTCTGTCCCGCGCCTCACATGGATGGAGGTGTGCTTGAAAGATTGCCATGTGCTGCCACGTGCAATTTCCTTCCCCCCACCCCTCCCCCACACACCCTCCCTCCCCTTCCCCCAGGCCTCATGGAGACCAACACGAGCGGCTTCATCTTGTGCGTGGATTGTATCGAGCAGGCCGGCACTGCTGGGCCGCCCATGCCCACGCTCGAAACCTCCATCTCACCCCCTCCCCCCTCCCTCTCCGTTCCACAAATCCTTCCCGGCTTCCCCTGGCCAATCCTCCAGGTCTCACGGAGACCAACACGAGCGGCTTCATCTCGTACGCTGATCGCATTGAGCAGCCCGGCACCATCAGCCTGCCCATGCCCAAGCTCGTGCCCGCCCATGCCCAAGCTCGTGCCCGCCCATGCCCGGTCGCCTCAACCACATGCTCATAGCAACCCCCCGTCCTCACTCCTTCTCAACACCCTCAGGTCTCACCGAGACCAACACGAGCGGCTTCATCTCATACGTGGATCACATCGAGCAGACCGGCACGGTCGGCCCGCCCATGCCCACCCTCTAGACCCTTCTCCTCTCATCTCATCCAATGCCCTCTAATTCCCTCCCTCCGTTTCCTAACAGGTCTCACCGAAACCAACACGAGTGGCTTCATCTCGTACGCGGATCGCATCGAGCAGGCCGGCACCGTTGGCCCGCCCATGCCCACGCTCGAAACCCGCCTCGAATCCATCCCCGAGATGAACTACGATGCTATTGGTGCCAAACTGGAAGGAGAATCAGGGGAGGCGGTGCATCCCCCGAGGGGGGAGGTGTGCATTCGCGGGCCGATTCTCTTCTCGGGGTATTACAAGCGCGAGGATCTGACCAAAGAGGCAGTGGATGCGGAGGGGTGGTTCCACACGGGCGACATTGGCGAGTGGCAGGCAGATGGGTCGATGAAGATCATCGATCGGAAAAAGAACATTTTTAAGCTGGCTCAAGGGGAGTACGTGGCTGTGGAGAATCTCGAGAACGTCTTTGGCAACTGCACTGCTATTGACATGGTGAGTGGTGGGGAGTGATGGGGAGTGGTGGTGATGGTGAGTGGTGGGGAGAGGGAGGGAGGATTTGACCAAGGAGGCTGTGGATGCGGAGGGGTGGTTCCACTCGGGAGACATTGGCGAGTGGCAGGCGGATGGGTCGATGAAGATCATCGATCGGAAGAAGAATATATTCAAGTTGGCGCAAGGGGAATATGTTGCCGCCCTGTCTCACCCCTTCATTGTCTCTCTTCTGCTCTCTCTGCTCTCTCTTCCATCCCTCCCTTCCCTCACACCAGGTGTGGGTGTATGGCAACAGCTTTGAGGCAGTGCTGGTGGCGGTGGTGGTACCAAACAAGCCGACGCTGCTAGAGTGGGCCAAGGGGGCAGGTGTGGAGGGGGATTATGCTGCCCTGTGCGCCACTGAGGAGGCAAAGAAATTTATTCTCGGGCAGCTGACTGAGACAGGAAAGAAGGGCAAGGTGAGAGGGGTGGAAGGGGGGAAAGAGATAGAAAGCAGTTGTGGTATTAGGAGAGGAGAGGCGGGCATTTATATTACCTGTAGGTGGTGACTCCCCTTCTCGCGCTCGAGTGGGCCAAGGGGGCGGGCATGGAGGGGGATTATGCTGCCCTCTGCGGCACTGAGGAGGCAAAGAAATTTATTCTCGGGCAGCTGACCGACACGGGCAAGAAGGGCAAGGTAAGATGCTGAAAGCGAGGGGGGTGGGATGACAAGGGAGGAGTGGTTTGAGGTCGTGTCTATACTAGAGGCTTTCTGAGGTCAGAGAGAGTACAGCCAGAGGAGAGGTTTGAGGCTTTCTTAGATTTTGAAAGCGTCCATGTGGAAAGCTGCCTTCCCCCCCCCTCCCCTTTTTCCCTTGTCTTTTTTTTGTTCTCCTGTGATCTGTGCCCCCCTCCAGCTGATGGGCTTATATTGGTTCTCCTGTGATCTGTGCCCCCCTCCAGCTGATGGGCTTATATTGGCTCTCCTGTGATCTGTGCCCCCCTCCAGCTGATGGGCTTATATTGGTTCTCCTGTGATCTGTGCCCCCCTCCACCTGATGGGCTTATATTGGTTCTCCTGTGATCTGTGCCCCCCTCCACCTGATGGGCTTATATTGGTTCTCCTGTGATCTGTGCCCCCCTCCAGCTGATGGGCTTATATTGGTTCTCCTGTGATCTGTGCCCCCCTCCAGCTGATGGGCTTATATTGGTTCTCCTGTGATCTGTGCCCCCCTCCACCTGATGGGCTTATATTGGTTCTCCTGTGATCTGTGCCCCCCTCCAGCTGATGGGCTTATATTGGTTCTCCTGTGATCTGTGCCCCCCTCCACCTGATGGGCTTATATTGGTTCTCCTGTGATCTGTGCCCCCCTCCAGCTGATGGGCTTATATTGGTTCTCCTGTGATCTGTGCCCCCCTGCAGCTGATGGGCTTATATTGGTTCTCCTGTGATCTGTGCCCCCCTCCACCTGATGGGCTTATATTGGTTCTCCTGTGATCTGTGCCCCCCTCCACCTGATGGGCTTATATTGGTTCTCCTGTGATCTGTGCCCCCCTCCACCTGATGGGCTTTGAGATGGTGAAGGCGGTGCATTTGGAGTCACAGCCGTTCCACATGGAGAGGGATCTGCTGACTTTCCCCCCTACCACCCCCTCCCCTCCCTTCTTTACCGCTGCCATGTTTCCCGGCATGTCCTATGCCCCCATGTGCACCAGCTGAAGGGCTTTGAGATGGTGAAGGCGGTGCATTTGGAGTCACAGCCCTTTGACATGGAGAGGGACCTGCTCACGCCCACGTTCAAGAAGAAGCGTCCTCAGCTGCTCAAGTACTACCAGGTGGGTTCAGGGCTCAGGTGGGTGACTAGACTCTGGTATTTACGTGCAGGCAGACTTGTTTAGTGTTGCGGTGGGTGTGTTGTGTTGTCAAGCCGTTCGACTTGGAAGAGTTTGCTGGCGCCCACGTTCAAGAAGAAGCGCCTGCAACTGCTCAATCACCACCAGGCTGGTTATAGCATCATAAGGCCTGTTCTTGTTGTGAGTTTTTGTTTTAGATTTCTCAAAAAAATCCTTATAGCATCATAAGGCCTGTTCTCGTTTTTAGCAAGGATTTGCTCTCTTGGGTTGGGAGGCACGTTTGGCACAATGTTTTTATGGTAAAGTAAGGGCGTATCTTTGGTTTGGGTCAAAAGGCCACTTTCGGTCATGCGTGTTTTCCGCATGACCCAAACAGCACAAAACGCCACCTTATCCGCGCTTCAGAAGGCCACTTTGGGTCGTGAGCGATTTCCGCATGACCCAAACAGTAGGATGAACAGTGCCATGACCCGAGCCAAAGATACGCCCTAAATTGGGTTTTTGGGTCCCTGTTCGAAGTGCCTCAAGAGTAAGTAATTCTCTCAAATGTGAATATCGGAATGGCATAAGGGTTTGGACACATCCTCCTAGGACAGGAATTTCCAATTGCGCATGCACTCATCAACTATGCACAATTTTGGGTTGCTGGTTTCACGTTTGTGTTGGCAGCAGCCTGCGATTGTGCACAGATGATTAACGATGCGCAATTTGATTTTTCCATCTTAGGAGGATGTGCGCAAGTTCCGATGCCGTTTGATCATGCCCTTTGTGTGGATTTGTAATTCATTTGTACTCATTGCACCATGTTTTGTGGAAATAATGCACTGTTGGGATGCACACTTGGCTACACGTTTTTAGCCTCTGAAGAAAAGTTTTTGAATATCTTGTTCAAAGTCGCCTCGAAAAGAACATATTGGACCGCCGGTTTGAGACGCCTCAAACAATGCTCTTGGTTTGCCTTTTTTTAAGCTCCTTAAAAACAGATGTGCACAGGCGGAGTTGGCACTGCAAGTCAAATAAACTTCACGCGAAGGAGCCTGCACTGGTTGAAGTCGTTGGGTGTACTCGTTTGTAACCACCCAGCTTCTGCTATCTTTCAAAAAGGCTGGCTCAAGCCGGGAGCTTGTCATTTGACCGCACTGATACCCGAAACCCCTTGCCTTTGCCCCCCGGCTGATGTAATACTAAGGCCTTCAACTTTTGCAAGCAAAAGCATCCAGGCGGTTTTTGAGGCGCCTCAAAAGTGGTCAAAAGCATCCAGGCGGTTTTCCTGTTTTTTCTCTTTCTCCCCTCCGCTTGCTTCTGCCTGTTATTGGGCACAAATTAACGCCCACCTTATTTGCCATTTCATACCACACGTGCATTCGCCTGCCCACCTTGCTTCTCCCTTATCCCGTCTCTCCCCCCCATCAGGCGCAAATTGATGCCATGTATGCAAGTCTCAAGAAGTGAAGCTCTCAAGGTGTTAGGTTTTTTTTTTTAAGTGAAGCTTTTATAAAATGAAGCTTTGGAGAAGTGAGATTCAGCTCTGGCTGAGCCTTGCTCTCGCTATAATCTTAGCATCTGTAAGCAAGTGGGCAGGGCAAACTTGTGTGGAGGTGAAGAACATGCATATGGATGACACAATCGTACAGCATTAGGGCATATCGGCAGGTTACTAGGTATGGCATGAGGATTTGGAAACTAGTGGTGGCAGGTAATTAACTCGCTGTAAAATAGCATTGTAGAGTACTGGTAGGTGCCACATCTACTTCAGTATGTGCCGGCATTAGAGAATGGAGATGTTACAGTAATTGACATGCTCAAGGGCCATACTAATATTGTTACTGGATCAGTAGCCTCCTAGCCATTGCTTGTTGCTGATATACACTCCCGGAAGACTAAGCATTACACGGGTTGATTCTTGAGGTGATGTTTCTTCTGTTCAGAGAACTCGAACTTGTAAATCCATCAACACAGAGGAAATCGGCTGGTGTTCATGATACCGAAGCACGACTCTATACACGGGTAACAATCTCACACTGTCGTCAGTCACATCCCGCTTTTCCCGGCGGGGCTTTGAATTCCGGCCGTTGTACAATTGTTTCTGATGATACGTGATACGAGGTAGGACCATAGAGCGGGAGGCGCTGCGGACGATAGAGCGGGAGGCATGGCGGACGATATAGTGGGAGGCGGGGCGGACGATAGAGCGGGGAGTAACACGCGGGTGGGCGAGAGAGGTGACGTGGATGATAGCACAAAAGCCTCTCATACTGGAGACGTGCTGATGACAGCCGGCGCGGCCGTGACAGCAGCAGCACATGACCGGATGTCTCAAGAGTATCAAGTTGCGGTTCAGAGCGGTGCTGAGGGGTGTGTCGGGGGCGCGTCAGGGGACGATAGAGCGGCAGGTGCGGCGGATAGTGCAAGCCGTGGCGACACGACCGTGACGGCAGCTCAGGCGATTCGAGAATGTCATACCACGACGGTTGAGAGCGGTGCTGAGGGGTGCGTGGGGGAGGGGGAGGCGGAGGGCGGACAGGCGGAGAGCGCAAGCGGGGCAGAGCGGAGAGTGGCGGACGGGGAAGTGGCTGCAGCGGGGGCTACTAGCGGACGAGGCGCAGTGGCGGAGTGTTCGGGGGAGAGATTTGGGGAAGGGTTGGCGGAAGGATTGGCGGAGCGGATCCGCGCGCTGGTTGATGCGGCGGACATGGGCGCAGTGTGGGAGGCGCAAGGGTCAAGGTGAGGGCGCACGCCCTTGTTACCCTCAGCTATGCGCATTCCCCGCAATCCTCCCTTGTCCCTCTCTGTCTCCCCCACCACGCCTATCAGTCTCGGCGCACTGCAGGACACGGCAGGCATATCGGCGCGCTACAGGACACGGCAGGCATATCGGCGCACTACAGGACACGGCAGGCATATCGGCGCGCTACAGGACACGGCAGGCATATCGGCGCACTACAGGACACGGCAGGCATATCGGCGCGCTACAGGACACGGCAGGCATATCGGCGCACTACAGGACACGGCAGGCATATCGGCGCACTACAGGACACGGCAGGCATATCGGCGCACTACAGGACACGGCAGGCATATCGGCGCACTACAGGACACGGCAGGCATATCGGCGCACTATAGGACACGGCAGGCATATCGGCGCACTACAGGACACGGCAGGCATATCGGCGCATCTCAATGCGTTCTCACTAAAGGCTCTAACTTGCGTTCCGTGTTCTCCCCTCTCTACCCTCCCTCCTCCCACCTCCCCCCTCCCCATGTATCAGCCTGGGCGCGCTACAGGACACGGCGGCCATCCTGGCGCATTTCAACGCATTTTCGCTCAAGGCGCTGGCATCTGAAGCCCCTGCCATGCGCTCGCACACTGCCGCCCTACATGCTTTACAGAGTGATCTCATGCGCTCATTCAGAAAAATCAGGTGTGAAGAGGGAAGTGGGGTAAGGGGGGATGGTGGGGCTGGACTGGAAGGATACAGCGGCCATCCTGGCGCATTTCAACGCCTTCTCGCTCAAGGCGCTGGCATCTGAAGTCCCTGCCATGCGCGCCCACACCGCATCGTTGCATGCACTGCAGGCAGATCTCATGCGCTCATTCAGAATAATCAGGTGTGAAGGGGGAAGGGGGGGTAGGGGGGGTGGTGGGGCTGGAAGGAACGAGGGGTTCTCGCCCTCGCGTCTGAAGCCCCTGCCATGTGCGCGCACACCGCATCGTTGCATGCACTGCAGGCAGATCTCATGCGCACATTCAGGAAAATCAGGTGGGGCAGAGGTGGGAGAATCTAAGGGGGAGGAGGGAATGTGTGGGGAAGAAACGAAACAAGAGGGGAGGGTGGGAGTTGGGATAAGGCGCTAGATGACTGAAACTCCCGCCATGCGCGCCCACACTGCTGCCCTGAATGTGCTCGTTTCAAAAAATCTGGTATCATCAGGGGTGGGAGAGGCGTGTTTTGAGTCTGACTCAGAATCTGGTAACATAGGGTTGGGAGAGACGGAAGAAGCGAAAGAAGTGGGGATGGTGGGGGCTGGAGTAAGGCGCCTGCGTCTGAAGCCGCCACTCCAGACTTGAGACGTCAGGGTTGGGAGAGCCGTGTTTTGCGCTGCGTATCTACACTGATTTTTGAGACGTCTCGGGACTCGCCCTGCGTCCGAGGCCCCCATTATGCGTGGCCACACTGCATCACTGCACTGCGCGCATGGCACACTGACTGGCGACATGGGCTCGAATTTGACTGCCTGCGACACCAGTGTGATCTGAATGTGTGCCTGAGTGTATGTGTGTGGTGTGCTGCCCTCTGTGGTGCTGTGCTTTTCTGTGCTCTGCTCTGCTCTGCTGTGCGGTGCATGCAGGGAAATGAAGGCGAAGTTGAGAAAGGCATTCCCAAACGCGTTCAAGGTCAGTCTGATGGGTTATGAGTCGCGTTTTGAGTCAACTCATAAAGTGTTTAAGGCCAGTCTGGTGGGTTATGACTTTCTTTTAAAGTTGACTCATAAAGCGTTCAAGTTCGTTGGTTATGAGGTTTGAGGACCGCACGAGTAGAGGTTGTTGAGATGTCATACACCCCTGCTTATGAGAGTTCTCATTAGTGATGTCAAAGTACAGGGATACACCACCGGTTTTTTAAATCGAGTTATAATTTAGTTAGAGGATCTCAGGTATCAAGGTCAGTCAAGTTGTTGGGATGCACCCCACCCCTGCATTCACCCGCCACTTGTCTTCTCAAGTGCCTCAAAAGCTGACTCCCGTTGTGCTCTGATGATCCTCGTCTGTTTCTTCCCTTCACAGATCGACATCACAATCACAACCCATCACATTCCTTGCTCTATGTTACTCCACTGCTACCATCCCCCTCATTGCTCCCAGGAAGCAGAGGAGATTGTGGCATTTCAGCCGGGATTGCAAGTGGATGAGGAGGATGGGTGAAAGCAAGGAGGATGAGGAGGAGCACTTGAAGCAACCCCACCTTCATCCCCTGCTTCTCCTGTTTCTCCACTCCACCACCACCACCACCACCACCACCACCACTGCTACCATCCCCCTCATTGCTCCCAGGAAGCAGAGGAGTATGTGGCATTGCAGCCGGGACTGCAAGTGGATGAGGAGTGAACCATCTCTGCAGTGTATATTAGCCTGTAATCTATCTCTGCAATGTATATAAGCATGCAATTCATCCCTGCAATCTATATACGGTAAGCCTGCAATGTTATGAGCCGATTGGAGAAACTTTCTGCTCAAATGATTCTTGGGAGCTTGTTTTCAGGGTGTTGAATTGGGGAACACCCAAGGACCAGTGTCTCATTCTGTACTCAGCATTACATTGCCAGGCTAAATGCTGGAAAAGAAAGCAGTTTCCAACAACAGCAGATGGGTCACACATACGGACCTGCAATTGCTAACAGACACACATACAGTACCACAAAGGATTAGGAATCTCTGCTGACTGATGAGTGGGTAACAGATGCATGACAAACAGCTGACATCACGTGCAGTCACCCGTGCCAAAGCAGGCAATTGAGTCGGTAAAATGGCATGCGGAGAACAAGGCCAGCTGTCACACAGAGAACCACTGAGAGGTCAGATCAGGTGTAAGCAAGAAGTCACATAGTCAAAGGGATTCACTGACATGACACGACTGATGCAAGAACCTAGGGGCGGGCAGAGGGGAAGATGGGGGATTGAGCGGGAGAGGGGCGTGGAGGGAATTGAAGGGAAGCTGCAAGGAAATGAGGGGCGAGTGGAGGTGGAATGAGAGATGGGGGGGGGAGAGGGGAGGGGGGAATAGGAGAGCGTGGAGTGAGGGGAGGGGGGAGCGGGGTGGAAAGGGGGGGTTTGGTTGCCTGGTAAGAGGGATGGATGGGGGATGTGCACGAGGAGTGAATGGGTGGGGGCAGATGAGGGGTGAATGGGGGAAGGCGGAGGGGAGGGAGGGGGGATGGGGGATGGTTAGGACGGACATGAAGGGGCAAAGGAGGTGAGGGAAATGGGGGATGATGAGGGGGCGGTGGAAGGGGAGCGGAATAGGGGGGAAAGGGGAGAGGAAGGGGAACGAGGGGTGAGCAGAGCGAAGATGAGAAGTGGGTGCAGAGGGAGGGGAGAAGAGAAGGAGCACGGGGGGATAAGCGGCGCACGCAGGCTACTGAGGGGAAAGCGGGGAGGCGTGGGGGAGAGCGGGGGAGATGAAGAGAGCGTGGGGGATGAGAGATGCATGACGTTACTAGGCAAGACCAGGGGAAGAGAGGGGAGGGAAATAGGTTAAAAAATGAGAAAGAGGACTCTCCCTTGTGGCGTCCCTTAACGCGCTTCAAATAACGACTTTCACTGATCCACTCCTTTCCCATTCGCTCCCTTACCCCTCTTTTCCCTGCCGACCTCCCCTTTCCCACTTTCTTGCGCATCCGCCAGGCTAATGTGGCTTGCGTTTGTATCATGCGTTTGCAGGATAAGTCCCCAATGATAAAAGTAGCGAATTTGTCAGCAGTTTTGTTTTTCGACCCAAAAAAAGTCTCAATAAAATAATCGTCACGAATGTGTCCGCAAATCGGCGCTAAAATTCGCAACGCAAATGAACGTTGAGATACTCGAGCTAAAAAAACGTCAGATCTTACCAGTACACCAACTGCCGCTAATGGCTTTTGAGGCGCCTCAAAAGTCGTCTCATTACCCGCAGATTTTACCAGTACACAACTACCGCTAATGGCGCGAATCTGGAGGGAGAGCAACTAGTTTCAAAGAGTTAGCTATAGTAACCGCACTAGATGTGTGAAGCGGCGAACGCTGAAGTAGGACCGAAGCGCGATTAAGACTTAAAGGTACTGAGATCCAACTAGTTACGGAAACAAGATCAGGGACTCCATGGAAAAACGAACTACCGCTTTTGCCTCCAAAGATCAGTAAGCGACGGTAGCGAGATGAACGGTGACAGGAGAACTAATCCTCGCTGACTCGATCCAAGGGGAGAGTAACTACTGTATTAGAACTGCATAATGCTGAAAGAGAGGAATTAGGAATGGCAGGTGAGAAATTATGAGGTCGGGGATTCAACCCCTTGGTGCTTGCGTGAGGGTGACAGAAACATTCGGTGCTGCCGTGGAAACACCCTTCATTCCTATTGGCTAGCTAAATACCTTCAAGATCACCTTCGTATTTTCAGCTGCCCAAGTCAGGTTCGGAGCAGCAAAATGGAATGCGGAGAAAAGCTAAAATTTCCGCGCCACGCAGGATTTTCCGAACTATCCCTCCGCCATCCCGCACCTTACGCAGAACTCACGCAAAAACTCGTAACTTCATATTTAGAGAAGCGCCACGTCTACCACCTCCTAGAAAGTTCTAAGCCTGCCCTGGCCCAAACTGTACTGCTTCGAAACCCACGGTCCTCAACCAACCTCTCCCAAACGATACGCGCCGTCAGCAGCTTCGTTTGCAGAAAGAACAACACAACCAGAATTACAAAATCAACGAGTTTGTGAAAGAGATGTACAGCGTGGTTCGTTCGGGGGTTCGGCTCAGAATTTTGGGCCGCCATTTGCCAGACCATGCGGCTCGATTATACCGTCCATGCCACTTCGTAGGCGGGGGATTTTGGAATTCGCCACTGTAGGGTTGACCCATTCTGACAGGGAATACTTTCAGCCGCTTTACGGCATTGACCCATCACATTTGGGTTGGAGCCGCGCTGTTTCGCGCTGTGGTGCTGCTAACCAACAAACTCTCATTCTCGTTCAGTTGCCTCATCCTCCTCACTCTCTCGACTCACTTCTGTTCATCTAAAGTCCCTTCCGTGGCGTTCATTTCAGTTCTTCACGAATTCAATGTTCGATTTCCAGTAAAGCTCCTAACTCAATGAGCTCCTTTTGGACTTTTGGCTACTCGCTCCTCGGAGCAATCCAAAGAAATCCGAAGCCACCCGGCTAGTGAATGGGGAAAGCTTAGGCATGCGGCAGCGTTAGGTCGCGTAGAGAATCTCGTGTAGATTAGCGTGGTTGGGATGGGTTGGGTAGATTAGAGTCTGAGCGAGCTGCCAAGTGCCTAAGGCTGAACCTTTCACAAAACCGGATTTTTCGCGGCAAGATTTTTTCACCGCGACGAATTCAAGATATCACCGCAAGATCTGCACGGCGAGATCTTCATGCCTAGAACTTCCACGGCGATATCTTCGCGGCGAGATCTTAATGACGAAGCATCCGCTTCAAGATCGCTGCTGCAAGAGCTTCAAGAGCTTCAAGGGCTTCAGGAACTTCAAGTGCTTCAAGAGCTGCAAGAGCTGCAAGAGCTTCAAGAGCTTCAAGAGCTTAAGGTGCGCATGGCGCCTCCCCTGCTGGCGCGGCCTCCCTCCTCGCTGCCGCCAAGACAAGTCTCACGAGACGGTAAGTCCATTTTGTTTAAACTTATTGCTGCAACCGTTTTTTGGCAAGTTAAGCTCCGATTGGTTCAGCATAGTTCAAGTGCTAATCTATAATTTTTTGCCTTCCGCAGACCTCTCGGCGACCGTCTTGGCGAGACATGAAGCGCCGACACTAACACTTGAGCCCCCTCAACACGGGGTTTTTGCGGCAAAATCAAGATTGCGCAGCGAGATCCGCACGGCGACAAGATTCTTACGCCAAGAACTTCCACGCCGACATCTTCGCGGCTCCGCGCCAACACGAAGACTGTCGAGTGAAGGTAAGCGGCGACTATTTCGTCTTCTTCCTGTCATAAATCGCTCGACAGATTCTAACCTGTTGCCTTCTTCCCGCAGACCTCTTGGCCGTCTTGGCGAGACTCGAAGCGCTGACATTGAAGCCAAGATCTTCACGCGCAAGATCTTCAAGCCAAGATCTTCCAGTCAAGCTCGTCCAAGGCGACATCTTCACGGCTCCAAGTGCTTCAAGTGGCCTTCCCCATCGGTGGCCCTGTCTCATGAAGACAGTCGAGTGGGGGTAAGTGCAACTTGTTTTCAACTTCTTCTTGCAACCGTTTTCGGCCGGTTAATTTCTTAAGCTCTAAATCGTTCAACATTATTCAAGCGCTAACCTTTTTCTTTATTCCACGCAGACCTCTTGGCGACCGTCTTGACTCGAAGTGTCAACGCCGACGCTAACACTTGAACCGTCAACAACCACCGAACGCGGATAGGAGCTACCACCGTCGCTGCGTGAAGTCTTCACGTTTTCACGAAGAGATGAAGACGCTTGGCGTAAGTGCAGTCTTCCTATTTTAAATAACCGTTTCGCTCTTTTTTTTAGCTTCCTCTGTTTCTAAGCTTTAAATGTTTTTTGAAGGAAACAATACTAACGCGTTCTTCGTTGACCCTGCAGGCGACCAACGACGTGAGAGGCCATCCGACGGAACCTTCAATCGACCAAGCTCTCTCTTAACAACGACGGTCCAAGCTCTCACCCAACGACGACGACGGCGATTTCCGCCATGCATAATGCCACTGAAGTCGCAGACCCGCCCTGCTTTGTCCCGAGTCAGTGTCGTTGCGGAGCTGCATTTCCTGGGAAATCCAGCTCCGCAACGTCGCTGACTCGGGTCAAAGCAAGGCGGACGCTGCGGCTTCAGCGGCATTGTGCATGGTGACTCTCCCGTCGCGCGGAACTTCACTTTCCGTTTGGCGACGCTTCACTCAAGTCTTTACGATGAAGTTCTTTTTCAAGCCTCATCACAATGAACGTAAGTGCGGTTCCGTTCAGAGATCTTCAACTACAATTCATTTTTTTACATATCTGCACTAACGTATTCGTTATTTCATGCAGATTCAGGGTCCTGCCGCTTCACGGCATCGTGATATTCCCATCGTCGCGAGTGGCGCTTCTATCGTCGTGTGGCGTTAGGCGACGGCGCGTGCCCCTGATGACGGTTCTTCCGGCGCTAGTACCGCTTTGTTTGTCGGATGGTAAGAACGCAATAGTATTTTTTATAATCATGCTACCTTATTCGTCCTTGTTTCAACAGTTCAGCTAACGCTTCTTCTTTCTTCCTGCAGATGGTGAGGAGACCCTTAGTTGGCGCTTGGCGACGCGTTTTTCCTTTCGCGCGGCTCTTTGCACGGCGGATGGCGGCGAATGCGGCTGATGACGGTTCTTCCGTCGCTAGTGGCGCTTTGATTGCCGGATGGTAAGAACGCGATATCACCACCAGCAGTTTCGATGATTTTTCAACGATTATTCGTCCTTTCTTCAACGCTTCACCTGACGGTTTTCCTTGTTCCTTGCAGATGGTGAGGAGACCCGTCGATGGCGCTTCTCCCGTCGCGCGGCGTTGCTTCGTCCGGGGCATGGCGACGAGTATCCCGTCGCACGGCGTCGCTTCGGCGGGAGCATGGTGACTCTTCACCCGTCGCGCGGCGCTTCGCACCGGGCCGGCGACGCCTCTCAGATTCGTCGTCGTTTTTCGTTTCGTCATCTTCCGTTTTATTATCTTTCTTCGGCCTTTCTCACTCGTGGCATGACGTGGTCGATGCGCAGCCAGGAATGAGAAAGTCTAAGACGTCAACGTCAACAACCAAGACGTCAACGTCAACGTCAACAACCAAGACGTCAACGTCAACAACCAAGACGTCAACGTCAACAACCAAGACGTCAACGTCAACAACCAAGACGTCAACGTCAACAACCAAGACGTCAACGTCAACAACCAAGACGTCAACGTCAACATCAACAACCAAGACGGCCAAGACGACCAAGCAGTCCAAGACGACCAAGACGACCAAGCCGTCCAAGCCGTCCAAGACGACCAAGACGACCAAGCCGTCCAAGCCGTCCAAGCCGTCCAAGACGACCAAGACGACCAAGACGACCAAGCCGTCCAAGCCGTCCAAGACGACCAAGACGACCAAGCCGTCCAAGCCGTCCAAGCCGTCCAAGACGACCAAGACGACCAAGACGACCAAGCCGTCCAAGCCGTCCAAGACGACCAAGACGACCAAGACGACCAAGCCGTCCAAGCCGTCCAAGCCGTCCAAGACGACCAAGACGACCAAGACGACCAATCCGTCCAAGACGACCAAGACGACCAAGACGACCAAGACTACCGTCAACGTCGACGTCAACGTCAACGTCGACCACGGTAAAAGCCCGAGCGGCTTTCACGGTAAGAACCGTCTAATTTCGTTTTGCTGCTTCCTCTTCCGGGATATCTAACGCCTTTGTCGTGTTCCTCTGTGCAGTGCAGCAGGAGGAGCAGCAACTACAGCGAGTAAAGGGAGGTAAAGGAGAGCTAGCTCTTCTCTTCTCTGGTAAGTACGGTCAAATTCAGTTACGTTGATTCCTTTTCGAAATCTAATGTTTGCTTTAGTGTTTGTTGCAGGAGGAGCGTGCGGGAACAACGGAAGCCGCGGGAATGGGAGCTCGCGGCGGGGTCAGCGACGATCAAGGGAGGTAACGCGGGGAGGCGGTCTCACATCCTCGGTAAGTTTCGCCGAATTTCGTTAAGCTTTTTCTTCGTTCATGAAACTAACTTCTTTCTGTGTGTTCCTTTCTCTTAGCGCAGCGGAAGTGGCGGAGGGGAGCTCGCGGGGGCTGCGACAAACAAAGGAGGCTTTCACGGTAAGAACCGTCTGCTTTCGTTTCGCTGCTTCCTTTTCCGTCTACTTAATGCATTTTTCGTGCTCGTGTTCTCTTAGTGCAGGAGGACTTCGGAGGAGGCAGCAACGGCAGAGGAGGAGCGACGGCGGGAGAAAGAGCTCTTCCTCGTCTTTCTTTGGTAAGTAGCTTCAACTTCAGCCAAGTTTAATTCTTCGTTAAACATGAATACTAACGTTTGATTTCGTGTTCTATGTCTTCAGTGCAGGAGCTTGCGGGAACAACGGCAGGAGGAGGAGCGACTACGGGAGAGAGAGCTCTTCCTCTTCTTTCTCTGGTAAGTAGCGTCAACTTCAGCCAAGTTTAATTCTTCGTTAAACATGACTAACGGTTGATTTCGTGTGATTTGTCTTCAGTGCAGGACCTTGCGGCAACAACGGCAGCGAGGGAGCGACAACGGGAGCGAGGGAGCAGCAACGGGAGCAAGGGTAAGTCCGTTAAAGCTCGCGTCTCAAAAATATCAACTTATTTTTTTGGCCGTTTAATCTTATTCTGTTGCTTTCCTTCCTGCAGAGCCTGACCGTACGCCGGCGCACGGGGGCGCGGCGACACATGGACGAATGGCGACGAACGGGGGACGCGCGGCGACTAACGGAGACGCGTAGGTCCCGTAGGATTCAACTCAGTCTGCTTTCGTCGAGTCTGCTCTTACCCTTTTCAAAGAATCTAACTTTTTGTTAATTTGATTTTGATACTCCTGCAGAGCCTGACCGTCCGCCGTGTCAGATTTATATGACATATTTGCTGTAGGCTATAGTGGGGTAGCACATATGGGGTACAGGGTTTCTAGGGTTGTATTTTGTCAGAACATATAGCTTACTTGTTTCTGTAGGCTATAGTGGGGTATCCCATAGGGGGTACAACACAATTAGGGTTTCCTATTTGTATTCACTTCACTTCATAGTCATCCATTTCTCGTTCACACTTTCTCATGGAATCAGAGCAGGTCCCTTCTTAGGGCCTGTTCCTAGGGCCCACCGAAGCGCGCCCCGAGGCGCGCATTTTTTTTAGCGACCCTCCGTGTCGCCCTCCCCGTCGTGCTCCCGCTTAGGCCCCTCGTCGGCCCCCCCCCCCCCCTTAGGCCCCTCGTCGGCCCCGCCTAGGCCCCTCGTCGGCCCCGCGTAGCCCCCGTCGGCCCCACTTAGGCCCCGCGTCGGCCCCACCTAGACCCCGTCGGCTCCTCGTCGGCCCCGCCTAGGCCCCACGTCGGCCCCGCGTAACCCCACGTCGGCCCCGCTTAGGCCCCACGTCGGCCCCGCGTAGCCCCGCTTAGGCCCGTCGGCCCCGCTTAGGCCCCGCTTTGGCCCCGCGTCGGCCCCGCCTAGACCCCGTCGGCCCCGCGTTGGCCCTGCTTAGGCCCCGTCGGCCCCGCGTTGGCCCCGCTTAGGCCCCGCCGGCCCGCCTAGGCCCCACTTCGGCCCCTCGTCGGCCCCGCCCAGACCTCGTCGGCCCCGCCACGGCCCTACGCCGGCCCCGCTTCAGCTGCTGTCGGCCCCGCTACAGCCCGCCACTGGCCTCGCTACACCCCGCCACTGGCCCCGCTACAGCCTGCCACCGGCCCCACTACGGCCCGCCATTGGCCCCGCTACAACTCGCACCGGCCCCTGCTACAGCCCGCCGCCGGCCCAGCTACAGCCCGCCGCCGGCCCAGCTACAGCCCGCCGCCGGCCCAGCTACAGCCCACCGCCGGCCCAGCTACAGCCCGCCGCCGGCCCCGCTACAGCCCGCCACCGGCCCCTGCTACAGCCCGCCGCCGGCCCAGCTACAGCCCGCCCCGGCCCCGCTACAGCCCGCCGTCGGCCCGCCGTCGGCCCCGCTACAGCCCTCCCCGCGGCCCCTGCTGCAGCCCGCCGTGCTGCACGTGAGCCCCTACGCCACCCGAGCCGCGCGAGCCGCCCGAGCCGCCCGAGCCGCCCGAGCCGCCCGAGCCGCCTGCTGCTGTTGTGCTGGGCGGCCGCCTGCTGCTGTTGTGCTGAGGAGCCGTGCTGCTGTTCCTGAGCTGTGTTCCTCTGCTGCTGACCTACCCGACTCTCCCAGCCCGGTGAGACTTTCAGCTGCTGCCATGGCCACCCCCACTGTTCTTACTTTTGACGCTGAGGGGAGGGCCATTGACTTTGACGTCTGGATTGAAGACCTGCAGCTGTACTTACTGTGTGATGCGATAGATGAGGTCTCTCTCTTTGACTTTGTCTCTGGCGCTGTCCCTGCCCCACCTGCTGATGCTGACTCTGCCGTTCGCTCCAAGTGGGCGACCCGCGATGCTGCTGCACGTCTTACTGTGCGTCGCCACCTCCCTTCCTCTGAGCGTGCCCACTTTAGTCAGTGCAAGACCGCTCAGGCCTTGTACGACGCTGTAGTTGCACGCTACTCCTCCCCTTCCTCCGCTACCCTTAGCCGCCTCATGCTACCGTTTCTCTTCCCTGACCTCGCTTCCTTTCCCACTGTCGCTGACCTCGTTACCCACCTCCGTGCTAGTGACACCCGCTACCGCGCTGCCCTTCTTGCTGAGTTCCGCGCTGCGAACCCTCCTCCCATGTACATCACTCTCTACTTTCTCGTCACCCGTCTCCCTGAGTCCCTTCGTGTCGTTAGGGACCAGTTTCTCTCTGTCTGTCCCACCACTCTCACTGTCGACCTCCTTGAGGAGTCCCTGCTAGCGGCTGAGAAGAGTATTGTCGCTGTAGGGGCCTCTCGGGGTGACCCTCGCACCCCCATCTTTGAGGGGTGTGGTCCGTCCCCCCTGCTGCCCTCTGTCGCCTCTGCCGCTGCGGCCGACCTCGCTGGTTTTGAGTCGGTCGGCGCGGCGTCTGCCCCCAGCGGCAGACGCCGCTCTGGCAAGGGCAAGGGGGGCAAGGGAGCGGGTGGAGCTAGAGGGGGCGGTGGAGGAGGCGGTGGGGGTGGCGGGGGGAGTGGGGGTGGCGGTGGGGGTGGTGGCGGGAGTGGAGGTACTGGTGGCGGCGGTGGAGGCGGAGGTGGCGGCGGAGGTGGTAGCGGAGGAGGCGGTGGGAGCGGTGGGAGCGACGGTCCTGGTGGGGGAGGTGGCGGTGGGGACGGGGGTGGCGGTGGAGGCGGGGGTGGCGGCGGAGGCGGGGGTCGGAGTGGCTCGTCCCAGCGGAGCAGCTCTGGGGGTGGTCAGCGCCAGCAGCAGCAGCATCAGCAGCCGCAGCAGCAGCCACAGCAGCAGCAGCGCTCTCGCACCGTCCCCGCCCCTCAGCAGCTCCGTGAGTGGTACTTGCAGCGTCAGCGTGGTGGTGCGCTTGGTCCCTGCCCCTACGTTCTTCGCACCGGTGACCGTGCAGGGGAGAGGTGTGGAGGCGCCCACACAGCCCGCCGCTGCTTTGGCCGCCTGACCGACGCCTGGCGTCAGCAGTTTCCGGAGGCCGCTGAGATCCCCCGCTGGGGAGAGCTGTCTAGGGCTGGTGTAGCTATTTATGATCTTGATTTTGATGCTATTCTCTCTGCTATGTATGCTGTGACTGGTAGTGATGAGGATGACTGTTACCGGTGTTTCCCGCCCGACCCGGGCATTGGTACTGCCGCGTCAGGTACTAGTGAGGCTGCTGCTCTAGGTGCCAGTGCGTCTGTGCTCTCAGGTGCTGGTGAGTCTGCCCTCTCAGGTACTGTGTCGGCTTCGGCCTCTCACACCTTCACCCTTGACTCTGGAGCGTCTCGCTCCTTCTTTAGGGACCGCACCACTCTCACGCCGCTGAGTCGGCCGGTTGCGGTGTCCCTGGCTGACCCCTCTGGGGGGCCTGTCCTGTCTCGCTTCTCCACTGTCCTCCCGTGTCCGGCGGCCCCCTCTGGCACCCTGACTGGTCTCTACCTCCCCTCGTTCTTGACGAACTTGGTGAGTGGTGCTGACCTCCAGGATGCGGGTGTCCACCAGTTCACCCCTGCTCGTCAGCGGGTGACCCACTGCACGGAGGCGGATACAGGTCGCCACCTGGCTACGTTTACACGTCGACCAGGGTCGAGCCTGTACACACTGACCACTGCTTCTCCTCCAGGTGCTACGTCTGGTAGGGTCCCTTCGTCTGGTCAGGTGTTTGCTGCAGCGTCCAGGTCTGGTCTTGAGTCTGCCCCCTGCTCCTGTCGTCGTCTTTCTCACGAGACCCTCCTCTGGCACCACCGCCTTGGCCACCCCTCTCTGCTTCGGCTCAGAGGCATGGCCTCGCGAGTCCTTGTGTCTGGTCTTCCCCGGTCTCTCCCTCCCCTTCCTCCGGGCCCTGGCCCTACCTGTGTCCCCTGTGTCGAGGGGCGCCAGCGTGCTGCCCCTCACTCCTCCCAGTTTCCTCCGACAGAGGCCCCGTTGCAGACGCTTCACATGGACGTGTGGGGCCCAGCCCGCGTCCGTGGACAGGGTCAGGAGCGCTACTTCCTGCTGGTGGTTGACGACTACTCGCGTTACACCACAGTCTTCCCCTTGCGCAGCAAGGGTGAGGTCACTGAGGTGTTGATCGACTGGATCCGCGCAGCTCGTCTCCAGCTTCGGAGGAGCTTTGGCTCTGACTTCCCTGTTTTGCGTCTGCACTCGGACAGAGGCGGAGAGTTCTCCTCTGGCCTCCTGAGTGCCTACTATCGTGCGCGAGGCATCCGTCAGACCTTCACGCTTCCGGACTCACAACAGCAGAATGGGATTGCTGAGCGCCGCATTGGCATGGTCATGGACGTCGCTCGTACGTCCATGATGCATGCGGCTGCTCCCCATTTTCTGTGGCCGTTTGCGGTCAGGTACGCTGCGCACCAGATCAACCTCCACCCCAGGGTCTCTCGACCGGAGACCTCCCCAGCCCTGCTGTGGACGGGGAAGGTTGGCGATGCGTTGGCGTTCCGGGTCTGGGGATCTCGGGCGTTTGTTCGCGACCTGTCTGCGGACAAGCTGTCCCCTCGTGCTTCTCCCTGCGTCTTCCTGGGGTTCCCCCCCGACGCCCCTGGGTGGCAGTTTTACCACCCCACCTCTCGACGTGTTCAGTCGGTACCCTACTACCGCCTCTTCCCCTACCGCACTCCGTCCCTCCCCCCACCCCCGCTCTTCTTGGTACCAGGTCCCCCCCCGGTAGTCCCCCTCCCCCCTCAGGGTCCTGCCCCTTCAGGTGTGTCCCAGGTAGACGCGGTCGAGCCTGTCGAGGTCACTGGTGACTCTGGTGCTGCTGCGGGAGCTGAGCCTGGGGGTGCGGAGTCTGGGGGTGCTGAGCCTGGGGGTGCTGAGCCTGGGGGTGCTGTGCCTGGGGGTGCTGAGCCTGGAGGTGCCGAGCCTGGGGGTGCTGTGTCTGGGGGTGCT